TCCAGATGAGCTGTGAGGCTGGAAGTCTGTGCCAGTCTGAGATGGTAAAACATGCTGGGTTTATGGTCCTGCCTTTTTCTGTGGATCCACTGTTCATTTACAGCCTCTGGCTTGTCCCTGCTCTGACTCTGATCTGATCCCCACAAACCTGGGTCAAGGACCTAACTTGGCAGAAAAAGATGAGTGAAGCACTAGTGCCACACTAAGGAAGGAGCTGAATTGCAGTAACAGTGGCTTTGGTCAGCCTCAGGAATTACACAGTTGCTACCTGAATCTGCTCCTTTTCTGTTGTATTAAAAAATATGTATTTTCAAATACTAAAAATACTGTTTGTAAGTTTTCCCCAAACCTTTCAGCAGGGGAATAACCATGTATATTATTGATTTTCATAATCAGCTTTCTGCTTTCTCTTACATTACTAACATGCCTGGGAGAACTCCATGTAAACACCTGCATATCATCCTGTTATTTCCTTGGAGTCTCATGCCCAGTCTATTCTAACTTCGTAGGCATTTTTGCACAGGAACCTTCCTTTTGTTATGCAGTATTATTACAGTTAGCACAAAAAGCCCTTGTCCAGGACTAGAGGAGATTCGTAATATAAGTGATAAATCATCATCATAAAGCAGAAGAGAAATACTACATTGGTCATGATGATAACACATCCCCTTCTTTATCCCGCTATTACTGAAGTCAATAGCAAAGCTGTATTGACTTCAAATGGTATAAGATTAAGCCTTACAGCATTATTATTCCGTATAATTCTGAAATGACTTGTTATGAAATGTCTTCAGCATAAAGAAAACCTCACCTTTATAGCAGTACACACACAGAGTCTAGATTGGCAGTGATACAGACGTAGAAACATCCACAGGGTGAGTATAATGTGTGCGTATGTATATATATCTTGTGTGTATATATACACACATATATCTTTTTACATTTTTCATCCAAGACTGCTACTGTAATGTAGGCATTATGTTTGCCCTCAGATTGATATGTCTGTTAATCTCAGCAGCCCCATCAAGATTACTTGTATTATCTAAGTGGACAGTAATTTAAAAGAAATAGCATTTTATTGAACCGCTGCTTAAATCCCAGCAACTTCAGATAAAGACAGTCTGCCTCGGTGCGACGTGACTCGAGAACTGAAACTGCAAGTTCCCCAGCAGCTGCCTTCTACTTTCATCTGTGTAACGCTCAAAGCCGCGCTGTGTGTTTATATTAAGCTCAAACGAAATTAATGAGTTTTTCAAGAAAAGGAGCTGTAATGAAAAATCTTCAATATAATTTTAAAGCTGTAATTTTATACTAATTCCTGACATCGACCTCCGTGTGTGCAGAGGTTCTGTTTAATTTTCATTAAATAATGTAATATCCTTTTTTTCAGATATTATTTGAAACTAGTAATTCCTTTTTCATTATGTGTCTTCTATTGAATTGATAGCCTGGTGTTTCATACAAAAGCTGCCGGCTGCTTATACTTGAGCACCCACTGGGTGGCAGTCACATACAGCTTTGGAAAGAATTTAGCTTGGTCCTTTCCCTCGCTAACCTAAAAAGAAGCCCCAGGTTAAGTGCCTCTAAAAAAAAGCTTTCTTTTAGTAGATAATGCTAGTTTAGAACGAAGACAGTAAAAGCGACCAGACATAAATGTCACTATTCCTTCACTGTTGTCTTGTGGTGCACCATTTCATTTCAGGAGGCAGGATTAGATAGGGGTCAAGGCAGGCATAGAAAGCAATGCAGGCATTCCCTATGGGAGGAGAGATGCCAGAGCTGGCAGTGGAGCAGGAGCTGGCTTCTTTAACCAATCAGAAGTGGTTGTCCATACTGGAAATCAATATCACCAGTTTTTAAATGGAGATTCATTTCAAGCAGGAATCAGAGCAACCCAGAACTTAGAGTTCTTAAACCTTTAAATCAATTCATAGCTGAACCCGTTCTGAAATCTTTTCTTGGCTTTAGTGAGAGCTGTATGTGAGTAGATAGATTTGATTCAGTACAAAAGGTTAATAATCCTAAGCAGTAAGCTGGCTGTGTCTGTTAGACCCTTCAATGTAGCCCAGCGTTAGTCTCCTTGTTGCCATCCCCGTCTCCCACGTGTGGCAGGATCTTTTCCCTCTGCACCATGGTGACATGCTCTGCCACACTGAAGCACTAAGGGAGACAAGATCGCTGGAAGGGTTTTTTACATTTTTATTCTAATGTGGCCAAGGCCACCACCTACTAAACTGGTTCAAGGTTGCTTCCTAGCAAATAACAGCGTGTTTGATTACCTGAGCTACAAACCCTAAGCTTTGGGTGATGGGGTGATATATTAGATATTCTAGGCCCAAATTACAGAGCAACTTAAAAACAAAAACCTAGACCTCAAAGCTTATGGACATATGGACAGAAGGCAGCCTTGCAGGGAACCTGTACTGCAGTGAAACAAGCTACAGCTTTACCTAGCTAATACACCAACTCTCTTTTAATCCTTTATTGACCATCCTTTCCACGTCCTGAACACTAATTCAAGACAAAGGGAGTTTCACTACACTACAGCTGGCAGAATTTGGTGTTAGTGCTCACAGTGATTTGTTATTTAAATTGACTTTTCATTTTCAGGTATGTCCTGCAGATGCAATCAGCATTCTTAGACAGATGCTGTACATTAGGCAGGGATGACTTTTTTATTACTTGCTCCTGATAGTTACTCTGATAATGAACACCTGGACCATGGCTACAGATTTAGGACACCCACAATACATTAATAAATTAAATGTTAGATTGATAATTATTAGTAGTAACATCTTATCAGAATAATGATGGTCTTCTCAAACCCACTGCTCAGATTCCAAGTCATAATAGAAAGAAATATTTAAACATTGCTCCAGATTTATTTTGGAAAAGGAAGAACATAGAAGTTGATGATGCTGACAGATACTAATGTATGTGGTAGTACACATTATTTTATCAGTTGCTTCAGCATCTCTTAATATATATATATAAAAATACATATAAAATTAGAACCTAGAATATGAGTCCTATGCAATCAGAATGTATCAGAAATAATTCCACTGCAGGTAAAGAAGTTACATGAGGTTAAAGTCTTCGCATATGAGAGGCTGGAGAATCAGGGATTTGTGCATCAGTCTTTTCACCAATCTTTTCCTGATATGCCTCTCTAAAATCTGTACCTTTAATTTAATAACTATACTGGTAAATACCCTGAAACCTCTGAGCCATTCCTATATGTCTTGCGAAATAAGAAGGGAATATTTTTCCACCTGATATGCCTTACAGCTCCCGTTGACAACAAGTCTGACCCTTGGGATGCTGGATGCTGAAACACTGATTTCCTCTCCGCCAGGGAAACCAGTAGCAAGCGCTAGAGTTTGTATTTAGGAGCTGCTGTGATTGAGGTTGAGATCTGTATTTTAACTCTTTGCATTTGTGGTTTGAAATTCTGTAACTCTAATTTCAGTTGAAATAGGTGTTTCTGCTGTTTATTAAAAATCTGAGAAAAGCTGCTCAAGATACCCTGAACAAACTAGAACTTCTTAGTTTCTGCAAAAGAAGATGGAACTGTGTTTTTTGATGTATTTAGCTCAAAAGTCTGCAGTTTAAAATTGGAAGATAGCCAGTAATCATGCTAATACACATTTGTGGCCAAATTTTAAATAAACAGTGTGAAAACTAGTTAGCATCAATTAAAAATCATTTGAACAGGAGTATTTCCTAGGACTCTTTTGTCAGCTGCAGAGAGCATTTTCCCTCTCTGCCTGTTATGTCGATACATTTCTCTTGTTAGGGTTTTATGGGACAGTATAAGAAAGACAAGACCCCTCTTTTCCAGTTATTACAGTGTTTTGAGATGACTGCCTCTACACATGCACGGGTATGCCATCAGTAGGCTGTCCAAGTACATGGGCTCACAGTACTCCAGGGAATTCAGCCCTTCAGTTCTACGCTGCCTGCCATTCATTTACTTTGCTGAATTGAACATTTCCAGTATCATTAAAGCAAGGTAATCCAAGGTAATAACAATTTGAAATCTGAAATATGGCAAAAAGATACATGAAAAAATGGTATGCCCTTTCAGCCTATTATACCCTGCAAAGTCTTAAATCTCATATATGAGTTTCTGTCCTTGTTTGTGCCAAGGTAAGGCCAGAATAAAATAAAACAGCTGTTGTTCTGGCCTCTTTAAGCTTGTGTAATAAACACATAAAGCTGAGAAAATAAATAACAACTGCAAAGATAAAAATTCACCCCAATTACCTTTACCAAGTGTGAGCTTTAAAACTCTATTGAGCCACACAGAACTATCTTAATAGCCATGGTACTAAGCACAGGCAATGTATTTCATTCCTCTCTCTTCACATCTTTCTGTTAAATAGTTAAAAAATAGGAAAATATAAGCTAATGTAATGTGATTGTTGTGTCATATCAAGGGCAATATGAGTTTCCTATAGATGAAAGTATTTAGCTAAATTAATTATTCTTGAATTTATCTTTTGGGTTTCATTAGTTATCACAATTAAATAATAACATTTTCAACAAGAAAATAATAAAATGTAAGGTACAAAAAAGTGTGTCTTAGTAATTTATGACTTTCCCAAGAGAAAAGGAGAATGTCCAACACATGCATTAGTCTCAGACTCTCAGCTATGTAAATCTAGCATCAGGAATAACATAGGTCCTAAATGGAAATCTTATATTAAAATAATAAGCTGGTTTAGTGTTGATGCTGTTGGGTTTATTAGCTGAAGTGATTCTACAGCAACCGGAACAAACAAACGTCCAATATAGGTATTTTCCAGGCCTTGGGAACTGTGAAGGTATGGAAGGAAGGGTATTCTCTGTTGTTTTCCCTTTGTCAAAATGAAAGCAGACCATATCAGAGAGAGTTGTAAGCGGTGGCATAAACTCCATTCAAGTAGACTTGATTCTGTAGCACTGTAAGAAAGCAGATCTGTTCTAAACACTCACTGTTTTCTTTTCTCTTTCCCCAGCTTGATCACTATCCTCCAGCGAGTTACAGCCTGCCAGCAGCATCTGATATTCAGTTCAATTCCCCAAAGGCGCTATTCCTAGGAAAAGTAATAGGTAAGATTTCACTTTATGCTCAGGACAGTGGTGTGTGCTGTGTTTGCAGCAGGGCACTTGCTGCACATTCTTGACTAGAAAGTGGTAATATTGGAGTTACACCTAAAAAAAGGGTTATGTTCACCTTGTCACATAGGCTGATGTGCGCACAAATATGTGATTGTCTGCCCAGTGCATGGAAAAAAACAGATATGAGTAAAGAGACACTTGTAACATCGTGTTTGTGAAGTTCCATTACCCCTCTCAGTGTCACATGGAGGGAATACGGGGAAATCATTGAGACCACTACAAATATTCAATATCAGTACAGATATTGAAGTTACTTTGAATCTTACCATTCACTGTGAACTTATCATATGTTTTTCTTATAATCCATGCAGTCAGTGTTCTTGTGAACACAGTGCATCACCTTGTGGCATAACTGACCCTCATCACCCTGGCAAAACCACCGCTTTCTCACTGTGAGGCCCAGCAGCAAGGTCCTTTGGAAGTCTGTAACACCTACAGCAACTCTCATCTATACGTTTTCCATCCCTTTTATGGACCTCATTGTTATTTCCCAGGGCAGCAGCTTCCTGGCCAACTCCCCAGCTGCACTCGTGACAATGCAGATCCATCTTAAACTGCCTTGGCCTCACTTTTAGGCCGTCCTAATTTCCACTGCTGAATTTTTCCACTACTGGCATTTTACATGAGTTCCCAGGGTCACTCACTTCAGGAATCAGTTATTCTCCTGATGTTTACAGCTTTGAAGGAGGGCTTTTTTCCCTTCTCAGAGATAAGGGGGTATTAATATTATTTCCTCTAGTGCTTTGTACAGGGATGTGGTTGCTTGAACTGCAGTGAAAGGTTTAATCCAGAAAATTGCAAACTTGTCTTTGCTTAGTGTTGTGAGGCAGTAATCCATGAAGCCCATGCACTGATTATTGAACGCAAAAAGCAATTGACCCCATAGCTGATGTGACTCTGTGAAGATACACTTTTCCATTTGTTTCATTTTTAAAATTTAACATTCTGAACTTCCATGAAATAGGAAATGAAAAGCCTTTGAAATGGATGGCTAGCAAGAGAGACAGGAACTATTTTCTGGTACTCTCCAGATCAGTTCTATAGATAGTACAAAAGACAGTGATGTCTGCTTATGGTGGATCTCTGTAAACTGGGCGCATTCCCACCTCACCTCACTGAATTAAGGCAGTTGGACTGGTGCCGACTCTGCCTCAGCCATTAATTCAAAGTGAGGAGACAGAGGGCTTTAGGAAGAACATTCAGCAGCAGGAATAACTCTGCAGACAAGGAATGTGGCTTGGCTCTCTCCTGCCAGGTGATGGTGAGCAAAACTATCAGCTGAAGGGTGTTGCAGTGTCCATCTCCTGTAATGGACTAATTGCTAGAGAGGTTGTGTTTCCTTTGATGTGGCAGCGTGTGTCTGAGAAACTACCTGATATGGCAGTACTGCCTCCACAGCTCAGCCCTGGGAATAAGCTTGACTGTTTTGACTGGTTGTTTGCAGGCAATGCTTTGGAGGAGGCTGAGTGAGGAGTGTGAGAGAGAGAAAATGGAGATAGGCATACAACAGAGAACAGACTGCAGCATAAAAGATAAGAAGGAAGGGAAGGGACAACTAAAACACGGAAGAAAACAGTGCACTGTACACTGTGGTGTGAAAAGCAAGAATAGGAGAAACAGAAATTGAAAAAGAAAGCAGGAAACACCGTTTAGACTATACTCATTTAAAATACCCTCAGTGCAGACAGTGCTCTGCAGGGAATCTGCTTCTTAATCCTCTGAATTGCTGAGCTGGCAGGTGAACTAGCAACATAGTCAAGTAACCACGTAGATGAAACCGTGACATAGTCAAGAGGTTTACTCTTTGCACGGGTTCTTTCTGAGCTGAATTTGTAAGCAGGTTCACAGCACTATGAAATCAAAGTCCACCCAGCTGTCTCCCACGTAACCCCATGCCCTGCTGTGCCGGTTTCGTGGCTGTGTTTAAATATTCACATTCTGAAAAGGTATTTAGGCATTCATGGAGAATAAAGCTGCTGCAAGAACTGGGCAGCTTAGAGGGTCCCTGATGCAACTTTTCATGTCTAGGATACTTTCTTCAATATTGTCAGTAACTGAAATGCATGATAACCATTTGAGAGGGCCCAGTAAAATCAGTTAACTGACCCAGCTCTGTTCCTAAAGATCTAAAGCCACAGCCCCTCACATTTGCCTCACTTGCAGTCATGTATGTGGTTGGAAATAAGAGTTTTAAGTCTCCTCAGCCTGCTTCAGTTGGATCCTACCAAGTGAGTAATGAAGTTCAGTAACAGAACAGTTTCTGTGTTCTGAGTGTTGAAGTTGAAAGTTGGATCATAGGACTTGCTGGACTATTTCAAAATACAGACATATAAAAAGAAAAATAAAATAGCAGAGAGTGAATAGAAAATTATTTTTGCCATGTAATAGATTTTAAATACCTGGGAACTTACAATTTATATTGCTCTCACTCTTTATAAGTATGGTAACCTGACCAGAGCAAGTAAAGCAAATATCAAATCTCGAAGTTGAAAAGCTTAAACATAGTTCTGGTAATATCTGTCCCATAAATACATATAATACAGTTGAAGATTATCATCAGGAAGCATAAAGCAAACACATCTATCAGTGATGCCCACCTTCAGCTCCTCTGCTAGCTTAAGAACTGTGAACCGGGAAGGATCTGGGGATACCCTGAAGGAGTTATCTATGAGTAGGCTGTATGTCTGTTTTCCTGTGCTACTTGATTTTAAGCCTCAGACAACCGTTTCTGAAGATGTTATTTGTCATCCATTCTATACATTTGTTACATTTTGTACATCGCTGGGAATGAATGCTTTATTTTTTTAACAGCATAGGTTTATGTCAGCACATTGGGAATATGTTTCTTCTGCTTCCTTTTCTCTGCTTATGTTACTGCCTTTGCAAAATAGGATATTAAGCAAAAGAGTGAATCAGTAATAAAGAAAAAACACCCCACTTTCTGTTCTTGCTGACAAACTGAACTTCTCTGTAGAGAAGCAGATTTCCTGATGTAAAATTGTGCAACTGACCATGTCTATTGATCAGCTTTACTGTGCAATTCTCAGAGTAACATTAGGTGAGGGGAGAGCACAATTAACAAGGTTACATGAGTGCAGCAGTTTGAAGGGCAAAGTAGAGGCAGAATCCAGTATCTTTAAAGCTCCTAATTGTCACATCATACCGGCTAGGCATATTTCAGTGGCCCAGAGGGATTAACACCAATATATATCAAGCTACAATTTGTACCCACCTGCAATTACATTCCCTAAATGGACAATATGGGAGTAGCTTCCTGCTGGTCTCTCATCAGTTGTGTTCAGTTTCTGTTGCTCTCATCCTATGCAATTCTTATTTGTCATCAGAAATGAATGGAAGGTGTTATTTGTAAAGACAGATGGGTTTTTGAAGAGCACTCTGGAACAATCCTGCTAAGAAACTGATCGTCTGCCTGTCTTTATTACCATTTTTATTAGGGTTATTTGCATGGGAACATCTGCTTCTGCCACAGCTGTGATTGCTGTGATTGCTCATCTGCTGCCAGTCAGAAACAATCACTTGTACACCTAGCACAACCCAACACCAGTTTCTGCTCTAGGTGTTACAACAGTATGGCTGATTAATAAAACGGTGGCCAAATGGCTCCATGCCTCATAACTGTTCTGAATATGTTCTGTAAGGCAGGAGGGTCACATCAGAAACAAAAGGAAATGATTGAATTGCAGCTGCAATCAGGGAGCATTGCTGCTTCTTTAAGTTGAGGTGGTTTTGGCTTTCCTGAGATAATTTCCAGAAAACTCAGTTGTTCCATGGCTTGAAAAACACTGATACAAAATATTTGTAGCCTTCTGGGAAACCAGAGGTAAAGGCATTCAGGATGTGATTAGTACCCAGGTAAAATGGATTATGATTTGAGGTGTGAAATAAAGCCAAAGGAGAGAAGGAATGAAAAATCCTCTTTTAAATGAGTGTATAGTAATAAAAATAATAGCACCAGAGGAATGCAGGATTTTGTAAAAAAGATAGAAGGGCATTGTTAATATTTCAAGGAAGTCCTTTACTCTGTTACTTAAACGTACTTGGGCATTGATGGCTGACACAGACAAGGTAGGAGGGAAAAGCTGGCTGTGTGGATGGCCAGCTATGAAGAGGAAAATAAGAAGCAGACAATGTGACAGGTATTGTTACACGTCATGGATCTGATTCTACATTTTCATTTAGGCTGCAACTTCTGACTCATTTCTGAAGCAGGCTAGAGCAGAGCTTTGCTTTTCCCATTAAGTGTAGTGGTTTTAGATGCAATGCTCAGGTTTGTCTTCACGTCCTTTTTGGATACCTCCACCAATTTCTGTTACGTGAACCTGCTATATAGGCAACTGATGTCATAGTCTGTACTTTATTACTGAAAGTGGAGTATTTCTTTGGGTTTTATATGCATTTATAAAGAGTTAGCTACGTGTAATTAAATATGAGTTTGTAAAAGTATCACTCAGGTAAACACAAATAATTTTAGTTTCCTAATAGGGTATTTGATGGAGCACAGAAACACCAAGCTCAGATGGCAGTTGATCTTGAGAAGGTAATGGAAATGTATTCCTTCTGTGTTTTCCATCTCCACCAACCACTCTAAATCTAATGATATCATTTCAAAAATACTTAAATATCCACTTGGAAGCAATCAACATAATGCAAGATACCTATAACATAGATTATCAATTTCAAACCTGACAGCTGTCCCTGCAGCTAATCTCTGTAGGTACCTTACTGCTCTTCAGATGCTTCCAGTAAGAGTAGTGAATAGGGAAATACCTTTCAGGTCTGCCTCCCTTCTTACAAAAGCAGCTGCCATCACTTTACAACTAATGAGAGATCCTGGAAACCAACCCCAGGGACCTGAAGTCTTCTCTCAGAAAGTGGTTCCCTCAAGAGGAAAAGGTAGAAGGTCTGTTTGG